AAAGAAAGAAATAGGCTTCTGAACTAGACTTTCTGGACCTTCCCCAAGGAAACGTTTTCTTAACGCATTCCTTATTTTTTGTTACAGGTCTGCGGCCTATAATCTTCTCTGTGCCTTAACTTGTACTTTTAATTTAAAGATTGAAGGCCAATTACTGGAAACATCAGGTCTTTGTATCCCTGCAAACAACACTCTTTTCATTGTCTCCATTAGTAAGACTCTGGCAGCTAATGAACCCCACCTTACCCTAGAGTTTTTGGAAGAATGCATTTCTGGATTTAGCAAGTCTAGTAAGTAATATTACTTCACTTTTCCTGTTTATATAAGGCAAAGATGGCTTGACAGCTCCAATGAGGAAGTCAGCAGCGCAGATATTGGGGATAAATGGAGCTGTGGCTATATTAAATAATAGTTAATCATACAGGGAATCCTCACTTAACAATGGTATTTGGATCCAGAATTTCTGTCACTAAGCAAATGTGGTCAAAAAGTATGAGGTCATATGATGTTGTGGCCCACCAGCAGAGCTGGTAGCAGACTCGGATAGTGAGGAGGTTGGGGAGGAACATGGGCCAGTCTTGGAGTCTGGGGAAGGCTCTGATGAGTGCTCTGTGCTGGAGGCAGAGATGGGGCCAGGGCCGTCTGACAGTTATCAGCTGCCTTCGGAGTCGGAGATCAGTGGGGCAGAAGAACAGCTGGAGCCTGTTCTCAGTGTGTGCATGCACAGAGCTGCCAGCAGAAGGAAACAGTTAAGGAACAAGGATTGACTCGTGAATAAAGGCTCAGGTGGAAGGTGAATGGCTCCTCCCATAGGGAATAAAGAGAAGCAAAAGGGGAGTGGTATTTGCAGGAGACAATTAGTTCAATTCATTAGACTGAAGATCTGTTCCTCACTTCTTGCCAAGTAATTGCTGCTATAGTGTGGCGTTTGGAAGATACCAGCCTGGCAACTCTCCAAGCCTGATAAAGGTCTGTAGTTGTGAAATCTCATGAAAGACTGTTTGCTTGGACTTTGATGGAGAGGAATTCCCTTTAACCTAAATAAAAGGGGTTTTATCGGGATGAAGAGTCTTCTTCATGGTCTTGGGAAACCTAGGTCAGAACATACAACCACCTTGCTTAGCAATGGCAATCCCAGCAATTCCATTGTTGTCATTAAGCGGGGATCATGAGTCATTAAGGAATGACCTCCGGGCAACTTCTTGACAGCTTCCAGCAAGCAAAGTCGATGGGAAAGCCAGCACGAAGTCACAAGCCGCAGGCAGTTCTCAAGCAGGCCAGTAAGTGTGTAAGGAGCTGTTGCAGCACAAGTGTGGTGGGACCAAGGGGGGTTACTGCCTTGAGTAACCAAGGGGGGTTACTGCCAGGTGCCAGAGGGTATAGCAGGGCCACCGCGCCAATAATGCATCAATAATGAAGGCATTACATGAAAAAATGTACAGTTGTAGAGTTAGAGAAGTGTGTATGTAGGCAAACTACCCAAGCACATACTCAATACATTGAAGAGTTTTAGTGAATCCAAGAGTGCAGCAATTAGTAAAAGGCAGATTTACATTGAAATATGAGAATTGTTCTTTTAAAAAAACCTGAATATGTAGAGCAAAATACACTTTTAGGAACCCTGAATTAATTCTACAAATCTAGCACCATATTAAAAATAAAATAGGCTCCATCTCTTTTACAGTATATATGCAAATGTAATCTCAGCTCTCGTTAAAAAAAAATCTATGGATAGCCAGAATTATTGAAATGCTACATATAATACAGTGTTCCTCAGCCTTGGCCACTTGAGGATATGTGGACTTCAACTCCCAGAATTCCCTCGTCAGGATGGCAAAAGGCATGCTGACTCAAGTGTAGCAGAAAGAACTTACAGTTTCTTAATGATCTGTTTCTTTAAAAGAGTCTGGAAGTTGAGTCAGGGCAACTTCCTTTCTTTTTTGTTTGAAACATTTCACTGCTTATCCTAGTAGCTTCTTCAAATTGGTTAGGGGAACCCATATATGTCTCCAGAGTGGTTTCATTTCTCACCTAATCTGAATAGGCTCGTTAGTAGGCAGTGATCGTTAAAAATTGTTGCTCCTAAATCCTTTATTTAAGTAGTCCTTAAGCGTGGCCTCCCTGGTGAACCCATGAGGTGGTCTTGATCTTCCTTGGGTTTTATTTCTGCAAGTCACCTGTGGCCGCTGTGAGTTGGGCAGACATATAAAATTTCTCAATAAATAAATACAATAAGAGGTGAAATAAAAGAAGTGACGCGACGATGTTCAGAAATGTCATCTTGGTGGGGGCTGAACCTAAGTCTTGGGCTACACGTTTTGAATCGTATTCAGGCTGGGCCAACACCCAAGGAAATACATTGCTGAAAATTTGCATTCCTCAACCCAGGATATGAAATTTGAGAAGTCATGATGCCTGCTGCTTTCATTGGGAAGATAATGAACTAATCACCTGCTCATTTTCTTCTTCTGGCCCAAGTTGTAGAAGAAGCCTCCCTCTCTCTCTCCCTCTCTTTCTCTCCCTCTCTTCCCACTTCCTCCCAGCAAGCATGAGTCTGTAAGCTCAAAATAAATTCCAACCCACCCACCTGACATCCCTTCTGCTTTTCCAGTGGGAAGCGTGGGTGGAAAAGGAAAAGAACTCTCTTCCCCGGGTCTTACAAGTCAGAGTCACCAAGAAGACGGAACTTTAGAGGTTCATGGAATAGGTGTGAGAAATTTAAAAAAAACAAACCCCTGTCTGGCCTGTTTTCCTGGTATTGTTGAGGAAATGGTTTGATATGGTCCAAATTAAGGGGAAGAACCAAGATTCCTTTGCCCTGGGCATATCTCCCCACTCAAAACAATTCTCTGTTGGGAAATGACCATGACTTGCTGAAGGAATTCAACACAGATTACAAAGTCAAGAGAGTGCTGTCAGCTCTGCTAATATTTGGAGAGTCTTATCCATGAAGCCTGATATATGCGTTGTTGTATTTGAAGGTGCCCTGCCTTTGATTTGCCATCCAAGGCCCATTTGGGTACATTACAGAACACCTAGAGATGTTGTTGGTTTCTTTTGATATTCAGCATCATATCTCACACTACTTTTGGGGCCAAAGACAACTTGCCTTTCAAGAATGGGGGCCTGGACATCACCAATCCAGGGCCTCTTGACACAGAGAAATCCTTATTTGCCGTCTTTCTAGTACACTTTAATTTTTTTTTTTTCATAACTACCAAGCTTTGTTCCAAAAGATAATTGGGCAAAACATTTGCGCAAGACTATTTTCTCATCTGTCTCTTTGTTTATTCGAATTTCAGGTATTGAACTAAAACATCTCTGCCTAGAATATATGACCCCCTGGTTACTGAATCTGGTCCGCTTCTGCAAACATAATGATGATGCTCGGCGCCAGCGAGTCACAGCAATTCTTGATAAGCTTATCACAATGACAATAAATGAGAAACAGATGTATCCTTCCATTCAAGCCAAGATATGGGGTAGTTTGGGACAGGTACTGGTTTTGATTGTCCGTCCCCCCCTTTCAGTTTTTGGTTGAAGAATAAACTATATGTTTTCTGCTATATCCAGTACTATTCAATGCAAGACTATACTTACATATCCTCCCCAAAAGCCATTTCTGCCATGTCCTGGTGAAGTTATTGAAAGGACATTTGCTAAAATCCAAGTGTTCTATGTTCAGAGATTATTTTTTTTTTACAATTTCTTCCCTGTGGTTATAAGGTCTGCTGGTTTCTGCAGTGTCACCTAGTTTTTTCAACAAAGCTAACATTACCCGATAAGATAAGTGCTCTTATTTATGAACCGGCTGGTTGCAGAGCCTGACACTGACTTGGGCCAAAAGGAAAGGATTGGACCAAGGTCACCCAGCCAGCTTCTGTGCATAAGGGAGCACAGGAAATCAGGAGCCCAGGCAGTTCAAATAAATATAGGTTTATTCTGTGCTAATGCTCTCTACAAGAATCGGAACTAACAACAGTAAAAGCAGATTGGTGGTAGATAGGAATTTAAGGTGGAATGCAAGGTGGGCTGGACTTGGATCTCTTGTGGATGGGAAGAGACTCAAGATTGATGATGCATTTGACTCTTCCCTTGGGCTCAGCCTGGTCATTCCCTATATCCCTCTTCCCACTCTGTCTACTATATTAACCACACTGGCTCTTAAGGAAGTAGCTCAGGTTTCCATGCCTACAGCAGGATTTGGGACTTCTCAAGTCCATAACCATTACCCCACACTGTCCTTTTTCCCCCTGTTCCGAGTAAACTATTAAATATCTTTTAAACATTACTATGGTGTTTATTTGGATTTGTCTTTCAGGACTTTTGTTGATAATAAGCTGGTAAATGAATCAATTTTCATGTGCAGAAAAATTGGCATTTCTGTCAAAATCAACCTTCCAGCGTCACACAGTTGTGGAAAGATTTATTATTATTATTATTATTATTATTATTATTATTATTATTATTATT